CTCTAGCCACGTAGCGCGCCTTGAAGACAGGCGGCTCTCCAGGAGGGCGCTTCACCTTGAAGAGCCAGCGGCCATCGACTACGTTCACCCCAGGCGGGGGAACCGCGTCGACGAAGGTGCCAGTGGATCTCCAAGATGCCATCTCCTGCTCCATGGCAGCTATCCACTGCGAGGCCCAGGGTCCCGAGGTCGCCTCAGCGTAAGTACGAGGGGTCGGGATGTCAAAAGCGTCTGGGTCACCCTCAGGGACTAGCAGCATGGAACAGAGATGGGGAGCAGCCTCGGAGAGGAAAGCAAGCTCGAACTGGCGGTCCTCCAGGACGTCACTGCCAAGGGCAGGAGCACCCCCGACAGACGGAGGACAGGCAGGGTCAGAGACCAGAGCGGAGGCGTAGTCAAGGCGGCGGGAAGAGGCGAAGTCAGCGACAGCAGCGACAAGGGCGTCAAGGCACGAGGTCGGAACAGACGGGTCAGTAACGAGAGAGGCAAGGACCCGAGGAACAAGAGGACGAGCGGCACGAAGGTAGTCAGACAGCGGGGGGGGTGCAACAACAAGGGAGGAAGGAGGAGGCGACGGCAGAAGGGGAGGACGAGACGCGTGGGAACGAAGCAACATAGGGTGGGAGCGCAGGACAGGCGAGGCAGGACGAGCACGGGAGGGACGGTGAGACCAGACGTGCGACGGAGGAGTCGGGTCAGGAGACAGAGGAGGGGACACAGGAGGGGAACGAGGGGGGAGACGAGCTGGGGACGAGTCCGGCGGAGGGAAAACAGGGCCGTAGACAGGAAGAGGAGGAGACGGTCGGGGAGGATCCGACGCAGGGTCGGGGGACGGCAGGCCGAGCAGGCGAAGGGCTGACACCGGCGGGGACTGCTGCTGCGGCGGCACAACGGAGACACCGGGACCGCTAGCTGCTCCTCGGCTACCCCCGACACTCTCCACACCAGCACCCCCAGAGGGACCACCCTCAGGGCTACCGGGACGAGCACCCCCAGAGTCAGCGAACGGGTGCTGCGACGGCAGCGGCGGCGGCGGCGGCAACGACGGCTGCAGCGGCGGCAGAAGCGGGGGAGGAGGGGACTGGGGAGGGGACGCCAGGGGAGGGGCAGGGACTACCGGGGAAGGAGGGACCAGGAACAGGGGGGGAGTAACCGGGGGACCACGGTGGGGGAAGCGACGGTAGTAGGAGACGGACTCGTCAAAGGTGACGTCACGAGAGTGAAAGAAGCGGTGAGACGGCGGGTGGTAAAAGTGCCAGTCGGACGCGTCAAGGGGAAAACCGAGGGAGACGCAGGGAAGGGTGTGGGCAGTGAGCTTGTCCGTGTCGGAGGCACGGACGTGAGCAAGGCAGCCCCAGACGTGGAACGCAGACGCGTCACCAGGAGACCCAGTCCACAGACGGGTCGGCGAAACCTGCGGCTGCTGAGGGTGCGGCCACAGGTTAAGCTGGTGAGAAGCGTAGCGCACAGCGAACGGCCACAGAAAATGGGGTGCACCGGCATGGATCATGGAGGTGCGAGCAACCTCCATGACCAAACCGATGCGTCGCTCAGCGACCCCATTCTGCTGTGGGGAGTCCGGTAGGGTGAACGTCTGGGTGATGCCCTCCGCACGACAAAAGCGACCAAGGACACCTGAGGCAAACTCGCCACCACGGTCTGAGTGAAGACGCAAGACATGGAGACCGCGGTGGACACGCGCAGAGACAAGCCAGGGGATGAGAGCGCCAGGCACGTCGGCCTTGCGCTCCAGGGGAAAGACTGTGGTGTAACGAGTGAAGTCGTCGACAAGCACAAGGAAGTAGCGCTCTCGACGCGGCCCAGGGACGGGGGCGGGGCCCCAGACGTCCAGGTGCAGGGTCTGCAGCGGCGCGGCGGTAGGGGGAAACGAGGAGGAGTGAGGGGCACGGCGAAGCCGACCCTCGACACAAGGCGTGCAAGGTGGGGCTGGGGAGGAGGGAAACGCAGGGAGAGAACCTGGGAGACCAAGGACAAGACCGTGCTGGGACATGTGACGCAGACGCTGGAGCGCAGGGTGACCTAGGCGGTGGTGCCAAAGGAGGGTCGGGTGAGTGAGGGACCGAGAGGAGCAGGCGGCAGCAACCTGGGTGAGCGCTCCAGCCGGGGGGGTCACGGTGTCCAGAGTGAACAGGCCGGACACCGGGTCCCGGGGGAACGTGGACAGGGGGGCACCAGTGGCGGCCTCGGTACAGACAGCATACCGCTCGTGACCAGGGAACGTAGTGGTGACACCAAGGTCCTGGAGGCAGCCGACACCAACTAGGTTCCTGGAGAACGAGGGGATATGCAGACCTGTAAGAGAGCCCGAAGGAACCGCCGGACAGGGAAGGGTGGTGGAACTGCGGGCGACTACCGCACCGCCAGAGGGGTCAGCGAGAGAAACGGCAGCAGGGACGGGAAGCGGCGTCAGGGTGGTGGAGTCGCGGAAGAAACACCGAGAAGCGCCAGAGTCCAAGGTGAAGGAAAGCGAAGCAGAGGCGTCTGGCGACGGAACGACGGCGGAAGCACCAAGACTACACAAAGCAGGGGATCCTACGCCTGACGCAGCAGGGGAGGGTACACTAGGCACACCTACACTAGGCAACAGTGAGTAATAAGCGGGAAGCACACTAGAGTCATCAGCATACATCACATGCAGAGCAGAAACAATGGCATCCATGTCCATATCAAAGATCTGAATCTTACGACTAAGCAAACTGTGCCAGTCCGGGAGGTCTGGCGACGGGCCGAAGCGCTGACGAAAGAGGTCGTCCAGGCGACGAAAACAACGGGGAGTGGAGTGACCGATCTTACCGCAAACGAAGCCGCGGCGAGGACCGGTCTGGATCTGGTACTGACAACGCCCGCCGCCAGAGCCACCACTCGGCACACCACCACGCGCCCGGCCACCGCCAGCGCCGGGCCACCCGGGCGGGAGGACACTCGTCTGCCGCGTCTGGGACGGCTGCGGCGGCTGCTGCCACGGCTGCGACTGCGGCGACTGCTGCGGCTGCTGCAACTGCAGGGGCGGCGGCTCAGCTGGACTGGGCCGGGTCCCCTCGTCCGCTCCAGCACCAGACGACCCGACCCCACCACTACCCCCTCCCGCACCCCCGCCGCCGCCTCCGCCGCGCCCAACCTTGGGGCGGCGGCCCTTCCCCGAACGAAACTACGCTGCAGCAGCAGTCTCAGCCACTGCGACAGAGCCGTCGGAGAAGGTACACTGGGCGGGGGCACAACCCTGAAAGATAGGGACAGGCACGACACCGCTCGCCTGGGCGATGGAGCGGTGACGGGTCTCTATCACAGTCAGGGTGTCTACAAAGTCAGTGAGGGTAAGGTCGGCAGGGTGAAGGCTAAGGAAGCGGTCGCGGGCGACAGCAAGGCGGTCAGGGAGGCGGGTGGCAAGCAGGTAGAGGGTAGAGGTAATGGGCGGCTGGTGGGCTCTAAGCTGTGCGTCAGTGCAGGCGGCGCGCCAGGTCTCCTCTATCGAGCGCAGGTGGGCAGCGAGGTCAGAGACAGTGGGGAAAGAAGCAAGGTCAGGAAAGAGCATCGGGAGGATCAGGCGACCCACCGAGGCAGCCGGAGGGGTGGAATAGCGCTTGATGACAGCATCGAAGTATGCCTGAGCAGTAGTGAGGGACCTAAAGCGAGGACGCTCGGACGGGGGGAGGGCGTTGCTAATGGCAAGCTGGGCGACAGCATCGCGAGAAAGCCAGACAGAGCGCGCACGGGCAGTGGCAGCAGTAGACTCACGCTCAGTGGGTGTGGGGTCAGCGGGCAGAATAGCAGGGGGGTCTGGGCAGGGGAGGTACCGTCAAGGTGTGCGGAAAGCGGTTCACCATCCTGCCGCTGGCCAGTGAGTTGGCGGCGGAGGTCGGCAAGCCACGCCTCGAACTCTAGGGGCTGACCTTCAGCGTCGAAGCGAAGCTCCGCCGCCATCAGGAACAGTCCAGTGCGGTGCAGGGCAGTGCAGTGCAGTGCAGTGCGGTACAGTGCGGTGCAGTGCGGTACAGTGCGGTGCAGTGCGGTGCAGCGCGGTGCAGTGCGGTGCAGTGCGATGCAGTGCGGTGCAGTGCGGTGTAAGGCAGTACAGTGTGGTGCGTGGCGGTACGGTGCTGGGCAGTGCAGGGCGAGGTGGGGGGGAACCGTACCAGTGAGGAGGACGGGGCCGGGGCAGCGGGGCCGGGCAGGTGCGACCGGGCCGGGCGAGGACGACGGGGCCGGGCGGGCGCGACGGGGCCGGGCGGGCGCGACGGGGCCGGGCTGGTGCGACAGGGCCGGGCCGGTGCGACGGGGCTGGGCGAGCGCGACGGGGCCGGGCAGTGGCGACGAGGCCAGGCGGGGGCGACAGGGCCGGGCCGGTGCGACGGGGCCGGGCAGGCGCGACGGGGCCGGGCTGGTGCGACGGGGCCGGGCGGCTGCGACAGGGCCGGGCAGGGGCGCGACGGGGCCCAGGGAGGGACGCGACGGGTCCCAGGAAGGGGTGCGACGGGGCTAGGGGGGGTCGCGACGGGGCTAGGGGGGGCGAGCGGAAGCGGTAGGTGGGGGGGGGGATCCTACCTACGCGTGATACCATATCAGAAATTGAAGAAGTGAATGATGTTAGAGAGAGGGTACACACAGATATACTTAAGTGTTGTACCCTCTAAGAGGCTACCCTATACAGTCTATACAAACATGACAAATACACATGTTTGACACTTACTTTGTTAGTAGGAGCCATGCAATGGCAAGAGGTTTTATGCTAGGAAAGTTGAGAGAAAAGAGGGAGAGATTAGAAGAGAGGGATGCAAGGAGGGAGTTGTACCCTCTACAGTGGGTTCCAGTAAGTAGCACAACTACCAAGCCTACAATTATATAAAATATATTATTTAACACGTGACTCTTCTTTTGTTGTTTCTGCTCGATTGCCCCGCCGGCACTGCACTTCCCTCCACTCAAGTGACAGAACAAAACATTTATGAATCAATTATAGACACAGCAATAGCACCAATGAATGCAACATTTTCTAGCCATAACAGCTCTGCTCTGCTGGAACCACATCATGGTACTGTAACACTCTGCACCACTCTCTATCACGCACTACGGCTCTTCTCTTCAGCTCTGAGAGTGTGATATAAGTCACATGACACCACATAAAGCTGCTGCAGCTTAACCACTAGATATCGTTCCACGAGTCCCCCCCAAGCACATCCTCCCACGACATCTCAGGCCCCTCTCCCATGTACACTCGGTGGGACTCGGCCTCTGGTTCGGGCTCCGGCTCTAGCAGCAACCTCCCTGCGAATGCGTCCATGGGGCTCATTCCGAACGGGCCGTCTACACAGGACGACTCCCCAGGACCCTGCATGTCCAGCATGTTCTGGAAGGGGAAGCTGGGTGTGAGATCGGTGGCAGCCCTGCTGGCAGTGGTGCCGGCAGCGGTGTTGGGTAGGTGGTGTGGTGGTTCCGCAGGGGGAGGAGGGGGGGCAGTAGCAGGAGCAGGAGCAGGAATGGGAGCAGGAGTAGGAGTAGGAGCAGTCGTGGGAGTACCCCATGACATTATGGGCATTTGTAGCGGCATGTATGTAGGTAAGGGGGAGAGTGGGGGGCTGAACCCAGTGCGCTGAGGTGCTGATTGAAAGGGAAGGTTCAAGTGACCTGGCTGGAAAAGAGGTTGCTTTGGTGACGACAATAGGTGAGACGATGAGGAGGAGAGTGTGGATTGGTGTAGAGGCAGAGAGAGGGGACTTCGGTGAAGCACGGAGTGGGTGGATTGGTGAAAAGGCTTCAAGAATGGCGCTGTGGAAAAAGGTTGCGGGGAGGATGGGAACACAGGAGCGGCAGCAGGAGCCGCAATGGGAGCAGTGAGGGGTGCGGAGAGTGGTGAGGCGGAAGAGGAGGCAGCAAGTGAGCTGATCACATGCTGCATGGCTGCTGACCCTGTTGGTGATGACGACCCATGTGATGGCACGCGGGAGGGGGCATCGGAAAGGGGTTGCAACGGCACTGGGACGTGTGGCCGGAGTGGCGGTGCAGGCAAGAGTAATGCTGGTGCTGCGCTTGATGCTCCTGGAGTCATCTCTCTCAATCGATTCGGCAGCCCCTGCTCTCTTTCTTGCTGCTGTGTCTGCTCCTCCTGTGTCCATTGCTGTTCGTTGCGCTCCTCTTGTGTCTCCCGTCCTTCAACCTGCAGCCTCTCCTGAGTCTGCCGCATCTCTTGCTGCTTCTCATGCTGCTTCTGTGTCGGAACCCACAGGTCAGGAGGGAGGGAGAGGAGGCGAGGGCCCTCACCCATGGCAGCAGCACCGCCAGAGCCGCTCCAAGTGCCACTGCCAGGCCCAGTGCTGGGAATTTTGCCCATCTCCACTGGTCTTGCGTACGGGACAGAGAAGACAGGGGATTTCCCACCTCCCGCTGCGTTTTCGCCTGCTTCCGCACCAGGGCCTGCTGGCTTATCTACTATGCCTGCTCCCGCCCCTGCTGCTGCTCCGGCTGCCCCTGCTCCTGCTGCTCCTTCTACTCCTGATCCTGCTCCTGCTACCCCCGCTCTTCTTGCTGTTGCCGAACTGGCGAGCAAGAGCTTTGAGTGGGTGTTGGGCACAGGCAAGGCCGGTGGAAAAGGCACCGCGCCAGGGAACCGGGCGAAAGAAGACGCAGAATCCGTGGCTGAAGTGGACGAAAAAGGGGACGGAGACCAATACTGAGGAGGGAAATGGGGCGGGAGAAGGGACGGCCTGCACGAGGAGGAGGCTCGCAGGGCGAAGGAGGGGATGGTGAGAAGGCGCGGCCTTGTGTGGCCTGGGTTCAGGCTGCCGCCACACTGCATGTGTTGGTGGTGGTGATTGTGACGATGCGGGCCAGCAGCGCACCATGACATGCCCGTGCTGCCTCCTCCCCCTGCTGCTGCGCTCCTCTCTGCCGCCTGTGCTGCCATTTCCACACACGACTCCACGCCACCACAAGCTATGCTCCAACCACCCGTGCTTCCACCACCGCCCATGCTCGCATCACCACCAATGCTCCCACCACCGCCCACGCTCCCACCGCCCATGCTCCCACTGCCCATGCTCCCACCACCCTGCAACCCTCCCACCTCCCTGCCTCCGCCGCTGCAGCTGCCGTCCCACGACCGGCCGTCACTCGCCCCCATGGGCAAGGATAGCAAGCGCGGGGCAGAGCCAAAGCTAGGCTGGGGACTCGGTGCGTTGCACAGGCCAGGGGTGGGTCCAGGGAGGTGCGGCAGCGTGCGTTGATCAGCAGCAGGAGTAGCAGTGGGAGAAGGGCTCTGGGGGACGCTGTCCGGCCATGCGGGTCTCTCTGATCTCCTTCGCATGTGGAAAGTTTCTGCACCTGCCGCAACTGCTGCTGCTGTTGCGATTGCCGCCTCTGCTGCTGTTACCGAGGCTGCTTCTACCGAGGCTGCTGCTATCAAGGCTGCTGTTACCGAGGCTGCTGTTACCGAGGCTTCTGTGGGTAGCCGTGCTGGTGATGGCCAGTCCGGTCCTTCCCTTGAAGGTGCTTGTTGGGCGGTCACATCTGGAGGAGGGGGGGCACTAGTGGGTGTTGGAACGACCAGTTGGGTTGGCAACGGAGTGGCAGGCTGGTGTGCCACTGTGGTTTTAGTCGACTCACAATACACTGGGGGTGTGGCTGCTGAATGGTTTGCAGGCGGTGCACCGCGCTCCGTAACACCTGCTGAATCGGTTCCCGCTCTGCCTACTAGAACTTGACTTGCAGTGTTCGTTTCAGCTGCTAGGGGTGGTGGATCCATGGGCCGTGGAACTGCCACTGCGCCCTTGGCTGCAGAACGGCGCTCCAGTGGTTCAGCTCCCGCCCGCATGCTTCCTCCAAAGACTCCTCCTCCTCCTCCTCCTCCTCCTCCTCCTCCTCCTCCTCCTCCTCCTCCTCCTCCTCCTCCTCCTCCTCCTCCTCCTCCTCCCCCTCCTTCTCGTCCTCCCCTTGTGTGTGCAGCAGGGGTCACGTCTCCCCTGCGTGGGGCAAAGGAGGTAGCAGCAGAGATTCTGCTGCCACTGCCGCTCACACAACCACCCACACTGGAACTCCGACTAGCACCCCCACTCCCACTACCACTCCCACTCTCTTCACTCTTACTTCTCGTTCGTCCCCTCCCTCGCCCCCTCCCTTCCCCCCTCCCTCTCGCTCTCCCTCGCCGCCCGCTCCCCCGCCTCCCCCCTCCTGCCTTCCCCCGCTCTTCCTCCTCCCCTCCCACTCCTCCCCCTCCCGCTCCTCCCCGAGCCTCCACCTCCACGCCTTCCCCCCGCCCACCGCTGCCAAGTTGCACTTGGCGCGGGGCCCATGGAACACTCTCGCGGCGTGGTCGTACGCGCGAGCAGCTTCCGCAGCGGTGTCAAAGGATCCCAGCCACACGCGCTTGCGGTGCCGAGGCTCCTTGATCTCGGCCACCCACTTTCCCCACTGCCTCTGCCGCACGCCCCGGAATGAGTGGCTGCTGTTGTCCGGGCCGCCCTGCGCTCCCTTCACTCGTGGCTTGCGGGACGACTGCTGGTGCTGGGGGTGCTGTTGCTGCTGCTGCTGCCGCTGCTGCTGTTGCTGTTGTTGATGCTGCTGCTGCTGCTGCTGTTGTTGCTCTTGTTGTTGTTGCTGCTCTACTTCTGGTAGGGTGGATGGGCCCAGGTCCGGCCTGGGTTGTGCTTGAGAAGCCGAGCGTCCTCCTCCTGCTTCCAATGCTGCTGCCTCGTTGTTTCCCTCGTCGGGGGCTGATGCTGCTGTTGCTGCTGCTGCTGCTGCTGCTGCTCCTGCAGTTGCTGTTGCTGTGGCTGCTGCTGCGGCTGCTGCCGCTTCTTCCCTCACCCTTTCAGCAACCTCCATCTCAATCCCAGCACGGGAAGCACAAGCACCAGCCCGTACCACCGCACCCTGCACCTGCATCCCCTCAGAATCCCACGCCTCAGCAGCAACACCACCAACGTCAGAGCCCTCGGCTCGTCTCTTGCCCCGCCTTCTCTTGTCGCCGCCTCCGTTCTCTTGGCTCCTCTTGGCCCGCACCCCACTGCGCTGGCTGCTGTCGTCACTGCTGCACCCACTGCCAGCAGCATCACTCCGACGTGGACTCGTTTTATTGGTGCTGGAGCTGCTGCGTGATGTGTCAGCATGCGCGCTGAGAGTGACCGGCGGTTGGGCGCCCTTGGGGGTGGTAGTGGCGGCTGCGGTACTGGCAGTGGTGGGAAGAACGGGCGAAGGGGGATGCGTGGCTGCGTGCCATTGTATGGGAGCTGGAAGGGGGCTGATACTTCCAGTGGCGGCAGTAGCGGGAGTGGCGGCTGGTGCGTCATCGCCTCCTTGCGGCGGCGGAGTGAGGGACTGAGGGGGCGTGAAGGACAGACCGGCGTGAGGCGGGAACTCGTCCTCACACACTGCCAGTGGCAGTGGCAGTGGCAGTGGCGGTGGCAGTGTCACATTGTGACCTGGGTCCATGAGCCGAACAGGACTCCTTGCCGGAGATTCAGGGCAGTGACAGTGCTCCCATGCTGGAGGGACGGATGGGATCGTGACGGCGTCAGTACCACCGAGACCGGCGACAACAACTTTTTGAGCATCCCCCGAGGACACTGTCACGCTGAAAACGCCCCCGGCCGGCGTCTCGCGTCCCACCAACGGGCCGGCGTCCCCACCGACGGCGTCCCACCTCCCACCACCACCACCGCTGTCCCCACCGCCACCGCCACCGACGCCAGCGACCCCCACCCCCCTGCCGGTTGTGGAGGTTTGATTGCGGGTGCTGGGGCCGCCGGCAGAGGCCGCCACCAGGGCTTGGTTGAGATGGAGAGAAGACGGGCAAAGCGTTGACTGTACACGTTGCACTTCCTCCTCCCCCTCCCCCCCCTCCGCCTGAGCGCCACCGGGACATTCTGCTTCCCGCTCCTCCATCTCGCCGCGCTCCTCCTCGTCCTCCCGCCTATCCTCCCCCGCATCCTCCGCCGCATCCTCCGCCGCATTCTCCGCCGCATCCTCCGCCGGGCCGTCGGCCTCTTCTCTCACGTCGTCATCATCTCCTTCGCCCGGTCCGGGGCCGTCCGTCGCCTCATGATTCGTCCGACGCCGTGCGACGCGCGCAAGTGGCTGTTCCGGAGGAGCCGGCGGCGGGGGAAAGTCTCGCCGCTGCCGCCGCGAAGGCGCCAGGTTACTACGCGCCGGGTTGCGTTGGGACTCCAAGTCGAAGTCCGAGTGGGAGTCGGAGTCGCAACGGCTTTCCGGCTCTTCGAGTCGGAGTCCTCCGTCGCTGCGAGCCGTGTTGCGATCATCACACGTTCTCAGGCTGCTGCTACTTCCTCCGCGACGTGTCATAACGATGCTCCCGGCCCGGGCGAGCACTTCTGGCAGAAGTGAGGGTCTTGCGACCGTTCAGCCCCGAGACATGAGCGAGGAGATATAAGGTTGGTTTTGAGACGTCTCAAAACACGTGATATAAGGTTGGTTTTGAGACGTCTCATAACCAACCTTATATCACGTGGCTTCTCGCAGAAGTGAGGGTCTTGCGACCGTTCAGCCCCGAGACATGAGCGAGGAACGAATTCGCGCAGGGTCGGGCCTTGCGATCATTGAGGAGAACCCAGGGGGCCTACGAGGCTCGTATTACTTCTAATGTACTGTACTATTCTTGGTCTAGTAGGACTGGTAGTCGTTCTGGTGACTCCAAGTTGCTTCACGGCTACTAGGAACTATAGTATAACACATCATGCTCCAGCGGAGAGTCCGCTGAGCTCACTTTGCTACGTGAGAGTCCTTCGGAAATTGAACGGAGTGCCGTACTACGAATAGTACTAAGAGACGAGGACGATCGGAGGCGTCTTTAATAGTCACCACTAGAATTCGAGTAGTCGTAGCTCCGCCGACTCACACGAATCACCTCGTGGTGCGCCACATCAAAGACTACTAGCTCTCGCTCACCGGCCCGTACTAATTTTTTTTCCTATCAGTGGAATCGAAATAAGCCAAGACCCGTCACGCGCGGAGAATTTCTCCGAATTGAACGGACAAGAAATACGGAGTACGTACAAAGAAGGCACAGAGTAGGCACTAGAACTTCTGTGCGTGGATGAAAGCCACATTTTGGGGGTTGTAACAACAAAATGTGAGGGATTGGTTGAGAAAGAACATCCTGGAGCAGATTAGGTGTATGAATGGGAGGGACATCCACAGAAAGCATGCGTACTACCAAATCCGGCTTGGCAGAATTGCCTGCAGCGAGCGCGGAGCATCGAGAAAAGGATTGGTAGGGTAGGCGGGAGGGAGGGATGACGAGTAGGGAAGACTCGTGGGGAGGTTAGGGAGGATAGAGAGGGTGTGGTGGAGACAGCATTTGATCCGCTTGCGAGGAAGTGCAGGAGCGTGCTACGCCGCGAACGAATGCAAGGTTCCGTTTTGATATGCCCGCGAAAAAGCGCACCAAAAAGTGCATCGCCGTGCCCGCGATTTAGGCAGGAGATATCGACGTGGCCAACCGCCTGCCAAGATAAAGAGAAAGATATTTTGGTCCTTTTCCCTTTTTGCCACGCTGGATGGCTTTTGTCATCCAGGCATGGATAGCTGACGATCCGCGTGCGGAAAGTGCAGCAGGAAAGCAACTCCACAAGGAATTGTGGGGGTGGAATTGATCGCGTTGGGGCCTGAGTGTACAGTAACCTGTGCGGCCAGAAAACAACGTCTCTTTTTTGTTTTTGTAAACATCCCCCATCTGTTTACCATCTGGTTGGTCCTAATCAGAAAAGAGGGGTGCCCGTAATCTGAAGCAACCTGGCGGTGCAAGGGCTGACCCCGCAAATTTCTTCAGACTCCGACTTTGCTGATGAGTTATCCCTATCGACCAAAATCAACTATCGTTCTCACCCCCCACCACCATTCCTCCCATTCCCCCGCCAAACCTTTTGGACTCTTGCACTCTACCCGAAGAGTCGCAACGCAAACCGATTGTTGTATCGTTGCAGGGGTGTTTCTTCTGACCTTTCCCTCCGATGGTTGAGCGTGATGTTTTCCCTGGTACACCTTTTCCCCTCTATGGTCCCACCCTGAACAGTCCAAATTGCAATCTCACCTACCAGGTTCTCAGCATGACTCGCGTTGACACTGAACCTGATTGGCTGCAGTATGAACGATAACGAACTCCCAAGTTGTATTTCAACAATTGCGAGATTTAGGGCTGGAACGTCATGCAGGCAACCAATCTAGTGCATGAGCGAGATTTTGTAACCAAGTGTCATTGCGTACTGTGGGATTTCCCCATTCAAAGTCCCATTTGACCTTGTTTTACAATTTCCTGCTTACAGGCTCGAGTCGTGTTCAAAACCGTGAGACTAAATAGAAGAACAAGTGTACATGCATACACCTTATCTTGCTTTGCGTCGCGGTTGTTACAGAAGCCCTAAGAATTTCACGAAAATACAATAGAACATGTCAACATTCTCTGCTTGTGTCGCATGGTTTAGTAGACCCCGCGAAGCACGACATACGGGAATCAGTATCCCGATTTGTGGAAATGTAGCGATGCACCAATCATAGGCGACTCAAGGATTATACTCAGACCAGTTGGGGTAGCAGTGCCTGGTTTAAATTGTGTATTATGCCGCGTTTCATTTCGAAAATAGGATGTAACAACATCAGCGTGACATGAGATCGTTAATTACGCACGCGGAGTTGCCACAGGTTCTATGATTCCAAACACCATCCTCCATCACCATTCACAACCGTTTTTCATGTCAGAGTCGGTTTCGCTCCATGTTTTGACCTTTCGTGGAAACTGGAGTCAGCCGCGTGGTAGATTTGGGTTCTCTAAAGCCAGATCAGGTGTAGTTGGACTTGGCAAGGGATGAGGCAGAATCGTGAAAGGGATAGGGAGGGTGTGGTGGAAATTGGCACGGATTTGCTTACCCGAGACAAAGTGCTCCACCACAATGATCATTGTGTTGCCCGCGCTTCGTTCTGTACAAAGAGATTCGTGGTAAAACTTCTCTCAAGAAAACTTGGAAGATATTTTCTAACCCTCTCTGTGCGCTCGCCACGTTGCGTCACCGCCTTTTCGCACGAATAATGTTCATCCTCGTGGCAAAAAGTGCAGCCGAAAAAGTAAGCGGATGGTGACTGAGGCAGATGATATCAATTCAGTAAGGACAGAACACAGCTACAGTGCACGATGATGCCCCACCCCAAAGTGAGCATGCAAGAACCCCGTGAATGCATGGCTACGATGAGCGTTTGCGCTTCACAATAAGAATCCTGCCCGCATGATTCTTTAGGGTTTAGGGTTTAGGGTTTAGGGTTTAGGGTTTAGGGTTTAGGGTTTAGGGTTTAGGGTTTAGGGTTTAGGGTTTAGGGTTTAGGGTTTAGGGTTTAGGGTTTAGGGTTTTAGGGTTTAGGGTTTAGGGTTTAGGGTTTAGGGTTTAGGGTTTAGGGTTTTTTTAGGGTTTAGG